AAAAAAGAGCAATTTTAGGACCTTGAAACTGAGGACGCGCTTTAAAAAAACATAACTAAAAGAAAATAAAAATAATTCTAAACTGTCATGAATTGTGACCTCAGGGATAGAAAAGCGCATTTGAGAAACTGAAACAATCACTGGTGATTTCTTTCTTTTTTTTTTTTTTGCTTGATACATAACCTGAACAATAGAATTAAAAAAGATTATCATGTAATTTTCTCTAGCAAATAGCTGCAGCTGTTAGGCCGTGCAACTAGATCAGCAGATTAGCAGACGTTTCAGGTCCTTGTTTGAGGCTGCAGTTTTGATTAAACTTGTAAAACTTATGTCCTGGTGCAGTTTCATGTTTACTGCTTGATAAAAATCAGAAAATATGGATGCTGGACTACAAAATACATACATAAACACTATGAAATTTAAAAAATTGCCACATAATATTGAATCTAACTATGAAACAGTTAAAAGTTACATGAAAAGTTGCACTACTGTACCCCATTTTTTTCTACAATGACAGTCTTATTTTACAGTCTTACACATGAACGCGGCAGATGAATTAACAGTTTTTATTTTATTTTTCAAATTAAAAATTAATAATTATTCAATTTGTTAACAATGTTTGGCAGCCACATGCCTCAAAGTACTTTTAGAACTTCCCCTCTGTGAATTTAAACTTTCACCATGAGGGGGCAGCATTTATCAGTGGGTGTGTTGAAATGTTTCTGGATGTGTACTTTGTACACACCCAAAAACATTACCAGGCCAGGACTGTAAATATTAGCAAACTCTGAATGGCCTACGTTGTTAAATAAGGGTTACACTGACCCAGTTTACCATGCTGTGGTACAATGTGGTATTACATTAAAGTCCAGTCCAGCCCCACTTCCACTCCAGTGGATATCCCTTTAACAAAATACAGATTTTGAACATAAAGTCAAAGGTTGTTCCTTCAAATGATGTTAAGGGCTTTAGTTAGTTTCAGAACCTATTAAACTATTCTTTAAAACACAGGAAATTAACTTTTTTACGGGCCAGAAAAGAAACCACTGGAAATAAAAAAATAACCATTTAGAGGGGGAAAACTGAAAATTTGTATTCTACATGGTATGCCTTTTTCATGTTATAAATACACCTACCCTTTTTGTTTTACAGCAATTAAACCATAGTTACAGTCGTTCAGCCGTATTTCCCACTTTAGTAGACACTGCATGTTCTGAAAAAGTCTGACTCGTGTAGCTTATTAAAATACTCAACTTGTCGTCAGTAAGTAGATTCAAAATATTTTTGATCTTGTGTAAGTAAAACTCCTTAAAAAAGACAGAATTGTAGCACAAATGCCCACTTGTGGGGTAAAAATCACCACTATTAGAAGCACCATGGTGGGATTCTTCAGACTGAGTAAAAAAACGTGTTTAAAGATTAAAAAAGTAAACGCAATAAAATTCATCACAGTAAGAATTAGGTCAGACTTAAAATCCCTGCCTGGAAGGATTAAACAATAAAAACATGATAAAATCTACGGATCACGTAGAAACAAAGCAATAATGGTTTGCGTTCACCTGTAGCTGCAGATTTGAAACCATTGCTGAGGTAGTGAGGAGGCCTGCACCATGAAGGGAGTTCAGCGGCTCTCTGGGACCTTGGACCGGGCTCAGGGTCTACATATTTGTGTCTCATTTTATAAGCAAAACAGGCGAAAGAACAAATTAATCCTATAGTGACTGATTTTAGGCCAGGTAAGTCCAGAGGAAGAAACGCTGAAGCAAAAGATGCATTTGAAGTCTTAAAAACATTATTCAGCACTTACATAGCACCATTAGTGTTAATGAAGAGTTTATTCTATAATATAGAAAACTATAGAATGATATTGTGCAGGATTTAGTGTGTTTTGGCTCTGCTGTGGGTCCAGAGGGAAATATAATTGGCTCTTGTATACTTCACTGCGGACATGAAGTTACCACTAACCGTGCATGTTATCAGTTTGAAATCGCGGACACTGAACCATAACAGGAACACTTCCCGTGCATCTTTTCACATCATACAGAGTAAAAAAAAAAAAAACCCTGACTGTAGCCTGTCAGACAAAAACATTGCAGTCATATTTAATTAAAAACCTAATTAAAATCAATATGTAGATTTGATAAGCGGCTATGATCTTTCCATTCATGATTAAGGTAAGCAAGGAGACGCCACTGATCCATAAAAGCCCAAAGATGGCTTGCAAACCACTTCAGCTCACTTCATGATGCAGGCCTGTGTTCTGAGCAACATAATCGTTTGATTACAGCAACCTTAAAAGAAACCAAAAAGTGTCTGTGCCTGCTGGTGGTGGAGGATGACTGACAGGATAAAACAAAAAAGAAATGAATTCATGAACAAAATATTTCTAAAAGCCAAAGCTACAATCGGTCCTCTAAAGAGAGACCAGAGAGTTTAAACTAACTAGCAAGGCGGGGCAGGATAAGGCATCGGGTTTACCGCTCCAGCTCTGATGCGAGGATTTGCTTCACAGTTGCTATTCACATTCAAAATAATCCTTCAGGGGGGCAAACAGGTGACGAATCACAGGCACACTCCAGGAGCGACCCAGGACTTTCTGCCTTTGCATCCGGCCCATGTTGTTCACGTCAGTGTAGTGTTTGGGGAAACCAAAAATCCTAAAAAAGGGAAACCACATGGAAGATGTTATATTTTACTTATACATACACACACACACACACACACACACACACACACACACACACACACA